TGTCACAGCTCACAGCAACCTCCAACTCCTGGGCTTAGGTGATTCTCATGCCTCAGAAGAGAGAAGTCTTTATGGGCTAATTCCTCAGTGGGCAAATAGAAGTATCACTGTTTTACTTTATAACCTGCCACTTCATAAGGGATCTTTTAGATGACAAATCATACTAGAAAAGGGACATTTACAGTAGACTAAAGAACTATTAGCTTACCGTTCTAGAAGGAAATGATTATTTCTGCATGGGTTGGTACTATATTGCTGCAGCTTGCAAAGAACAAGTTCTTAACCGATCTGCCATGGTTGTCTTTCTCTTGCCCTGAAACTGTTTCAGGCAACCATCATCAACTGCTTATAGAGGACAGGAGGGAATAAGCTCTAAAAGACAAATGTCTCCCTCCTGGGTTTGGCAACCAAAGAGCAGTCTCAAATTAGAAAGCACGGGCTTTGGGTAGAGCTAGCAAAGCACTTCTACATAAGTATAGAGATGCAAAAGTTTGAAATAAGGAAAATGAAGCCACTCACTTTCTGGCACTTTTTGCAAAATCAACTCCAATAGTTTTGCCATCAATTTTTAAAGGAGGATGAAGACTCTGTAATATTTGAAGCAGCTGAGAAGCATCCTGAAGGAAAATGTGAAGAAAAACAATTTTGTCACATAATTAAAAATGTCTGCCTGCCATCTATCCCATTCAAAGAAACAGAGCTTTGTATTTTTTAAAAAGGGTGAGGGTTAAAATATTGTTTACAGATATGAAACTTTATTGTGTTTGCAGATATGAAACCCAGATTAAAGAAATACCTTTCTTTCCTCTAAGAGGTGTATAGTATTATTAAAAGAGCAAATGTTAAGTCAATCAAAAACAGTTTTCTATAGGAATACATACTAGTTTTACTACTTATGGAAGTAATGAGTTCTTATAAGTCAGTAGTATAAAAACTGTTATTGAGTAGCCTTGAACCTTGGGCTTCAGACGCCTCATACATAGTATCAAAACTGGATGAACCACATTTGCCTCTTAAAGCTGTTTCTTTTAAAAAGAAAAGATAGGTAAAATCCTCACCATTGCAGAAGATAGCTGCACAAATGCGAAACCTCTGTTCTGCTGAGTCTGTTTATCTTTTATGAGACGAATGTTATTGACAGCTAAGGATGCATAGGGAGACAGTGCTGTCATGATGGAATCCACCACAGTGTGTGGAGCAATGTTCCGAAGAATGATTGCTGCAGGTGAATGAGATATATGACATATATATACATTTCTACTACCAATGCTTTTGAGAGAGATTCAACCACAAACAAATCCATTTTGGGGAAGCTCCTAGTATATATTTAATCCTAACATGGAGAAATCTCTAAAAACCAATCTTTTAAGGAACAACCTGAAACCGCTGCTGCTCCTTAAAATAAGGGTAAAAGAAAAGAAAATTCCCAAGTGAGGTCAACTTTTAATACAAAAGCCAAAAAATCATATGTGAACTTACTATCACAGTAGTAATCTACAGACTGAACAGACTCTGTGGTTCCAGGGGGCACTTCCTGTTCAGAGTCTAGAAGGGAAGGAGATCCAGTTAAACCAATATATTTTTAGTAAAGAAATACATTAAAACTTCTAAAATATTGAGCCAGGTGCACTGGCTCACGCCTATAATTCTAGCACTCTGGGGGACCAAGGAGGGTAGCCTGCCTGAGTTCAGGAGTTCAAGACCAGCCTGAGAGCAGCAAGACCCCATGTCTATGAAAAATAGAAAAACTAGCCAGGTGTTCTGGTGGATGCCTGTAGCCCCAGCAACTTAGGAGGCTGAGGCAAGAGGACTGCATGAGCCCAAAAGTATGAGGCTGCTGTGAGCTATGATGTCACAGCACTCTTCCCAGAGTGACAGAGCTTAGACTGTCTCAAAACAAAAACAAGAAAGAAAAAAACTCCTAAAGTTGGGCAGCGCCTGTAGGTCACTTGGTGGGCGCCAGTCCCATATACTAGGGGGGCAGGTTCAAACCTGGCCCCAGCCAAACTGCAACAAAAAAATAACTGGGCATTGTGGTGGGCGCCTGTAGTCCCAGCTACTCGGGAGGCTGAGGCAAGAGAATCACCTAAGCCCAAGAGCTAGAGGTTGCTGTGAGCTGTGACACTCTACTGAGGGCGACAAAATAAGACTCTGTCTCTAAAAACAAAACAAAACAAAACAACAAACCCCCCCAAACTCCAACAAACTTCTAAGATTTTTCTTTTGAGACAGAGTCTTACTTTGTTGCCCCAGGCTACAGTCCCATGCTGCCATGATATCAACCTGGCATTGTCACATGTGGTTAAATTTTATTTATTTATATTTGTAGAGACCAGGCCTGGTAGCTCATGTTTGCAATCCTAGCACTTTGGGAGGCCAAGACAGGAGGATCACTTGAGGCCAGTTATTCAAAACAAGGCTAGGCAACACAGTGAGACCCCATTTCTGAAAAAATAAGAATAAATTAATTAGCATGCTGGTGTGTGCCTATTGTCCTAACTACTCAAGAGGCTGAGGCAGGAGGATTATGTAAACATAGGAGCTAGAGGTTGCAGTGAACTATGAGCTAGCCTGGGAAATAGTGAATGAGCCAATCAATTAAAAAAAAGGGGAGAGGGGAAAAGGGGTTTTGCTATATTGTCCAGGCTAGTCTTGACTTGAACTTCTGGCCTCAAGCAATCCTCTTGCTTTGGCCTCCTAAAGTACTGGGATTACTGGCATGAGCCACCATACCTGGCTGGCTGTAAGCACATTTGGCAGTCATTTTTTTCTCTTTTAAGCTTATGTGGTTGTAGTAAAACCTCATTAATTTTGATATGGTTAATGTAGAATGTAACAGTTGGCCAGAATAGTGCTGACACTAACTGGCACTAAAGAAAAGTAGATATGAAATGCAAACCTCATGAGCAGACTTATTTTAGAAAATAAGAACTTTCTATACTCTCACAATCATTAGCAGCATTTACCTAACCTGAAGTAAAAGGTTTAAAGAAAATATTTAAGTTATTTGTTTAAATGACCTAAAATCTATACTTTTCCTCAGGTTCACAGACAATAATAACCCAATCGGTCAGGCTTCAATGCATATTCTGAACAGCTGAATCCAGGCTTACCAAACTTGTCAGCTCCACATCGGAAGCATTTTAGTCTTTTCCTGAAATTGTTAAGGCAGCACTGAAAACAAACAAACAAAAAAAGTTTTACCTGTAATTAGGCCAGCCTTTCTGGTAACCATGTGGTTAGAACAATGGAGTCATGGGTAAGTTTTGTAACTAACATCAAAAAAGGCAGAAAGTGGCTCAGCACCTGTGGCTCAAGCTTAAGTGGCTAAGGCGCCAGTCACATACACCTGAGCTGGCGGATTTGAATCCAGCCTTGGCCCACCAAACAAAGATGGCTGCAACCAAAAAATAGCTGGGTGTTGTGACAGGTGCCTGTGGTCCTAGCTACTTGGGAGGCTGAGGCAAGAGAATTGCTTGAGCCCAGTAGTTGGAGGTTGCTGTGAGCTGTGATGCCACAGCACTCTACCCAGG